AGGTTAAGCATCCACTCTTCCCTAGAGCCTTTTTTGCTCCCCATCCTCATCACCCCAATCCTTCAGATAATACTACTTCTTGGTGGGGGCTTTCATTAAACATTTATTTTACTTTATCACAGTGTGCTATAATTACCTATTTCTCCTTGCTGGGCAAGGACCAGCACTTGGTTAGGCTGCCATATACTGTTGATCAGGTTGTGCCCTGAGGCAACAAGCAGTGGCCAAGATCCGACCTGTACTTTACTTGCTAGATGCTTTTCCCTGGTATGAGACTACCCCTGCTCAGAGGAAGCCATGCTGCCTTCTAATTCACACAAAGTAGCTGTTTTAGGGATGACAGTGTTTCTACTTGTTACAAAGTAAGGGCTCAATTAATGTTAGTCTCCTCTCTCTGTCCATCAGCAAATGCAACCACTCCTGGAGTGGAGTGTCATCCTAGACCCCAGACTCCAGTCTCCTCTGGGGCCATGAAGGGAATGGAAGCCTCAAGAAACTTCCTGCTTAGGAAAAGGGCTCCCCTTGGCTCCTCCTCTACCAGGACAGGGGTGTCTTTGCTAAACTGAACACAGTACATTATAGCCTTTGCAGAATTAAGTAGCATCTTAGAATTTTATGGGCTCTCCTAGTCAAGGATGGCAAACCCATAGCATGGAAGTTACCTTTCTGCCATTCCTGGAGCACGGCAGACGTTACCAATCAATTACAATTGCTCTCACAAACTTGAGATGCCTCAGAATCCTCAGTAGGGCCATTAATGCATTGTTTGAACTGAAGTTTAGAATAAAACTGATTTCTCATCCTCATTCTAATTCAACCCCTTATTTTATGAATGAGATGAGGTCCTCTTTCCTCTATGGCCTTCACTCCTCAACTCTGTCCCTTCATCTCTAGTTAACTTTGGCTTGGGATGATTCCTATTTATCATGTCCTGAGCAGTCTTAAAAATGGCCCCTTACAATAAAGTATTTCCTCAGCAGTCCTGTTCCTTGGAATTGTGCTCTAGATAACTTAGCACTAAGAATCATAACATGTTTAACTTCAGAGAGCTGCTTCTTCAATTTCCTCAGTCATTAGACAAAAAGATTGAGGCCCAGAAATTGAAGACAAGTGATTTACCCAAGACCTCAGGGCAACATATGACTGAGCTGGGCAAAGTCCAAATATTCTGACACCCAGGCCATGTCTCTCTCCACCACACCTTCTTGTGGCTGACATTTAATTTTTATTAGTCGATCCTCAGTGCATGGAACCACTGACTTTGGAGTTAGAAGAATCTTTTACAGTGCTTTTCCAGACTTTCACATAAGACAGAATTTCCTTTCTCTACACTCCTTTTTATATGAGTGTATTAAAAGGGCCATGTTAACATCTAGAGTGTTTAGGAAGCAGGAGATTGGTGTAGGGGAGAAACACTGAGCCTATATCAGTTGCAGCTCATCTGCTGGCTGACTGTGTGATTCAGGCTCTGAGTGGGCACTCACTTTGCTCATACTTTCCCGGCCCAAGACTCTATCCTAAAGTTATCACACATTAACTGACCAGATGATTGAGGGGTCTAGGCTCTCCAGCTTCACCATTCCCTTAATCTTTAGAAAATACACAGCATCTATAAGAAATAATAAAAGAATGGAGCAAGATCTATAAGCTAGATTTTCCCCTCCTCTCCATATCTGGATCTACTTATTCGGTTGCTGCAAATGGAACAGATCAGAAATAAAAATGGACTTCCTGAATACATTTTATCCTAAACACAAATGTTGGCGAGTTCATGGTTAGACTTCTGGAAACTATTTTTAATCTTTAAATTTTATTTATTAATTTTTTTTTACATATGGAGTCTCCTGTGTTGCCCAGGCTAGACTGCAGTCGCAATTCACAGGCATGATCATAGCGCAATACAGCCCTGAATTCCTGGGGTCAGGTGATCCTCCCACCTCAGCCTCCTGATTAGTTGGGAACACAGGCATGCACTACTGCACGGGCTAAACTACTTTTAAAGTTCAATCCCAACTGCAGACTGGGCTAATACATAGTTAACTTGGCTAGAGGATGGAGCTAAGAAGTCTTAGAGGATTCTCTTGTGATGCTTCATATGAGAGAAAGATACACTGCAGCCTTACTGGGCAACAGGTATCTAGTCAAGCCCTTCAGCAAAATAGTCTACTGAAGCACCTTTGCCTCTACTCTTCTCTCAGATGCAGTCTTCCATTTGGTAAATACTGACATCTACCCAAGTGAAAGCACGGCTGAGCTCATGAAACCAAACACTGGTATCCATAAACTGGGCATTTCATAAGTATCAAGGTGGGACTGGCCACTATATTGATAGTTAGCTGTCAGTCAGTCAGGCTTAAGGACTTCAGATTCTTTCATTCTCTTGCATTCTGTAGCCTGTTCTATTAGCCCCATTTTCTTGGTGAACTCCAACTTTCCTGTCACTTTATCTTTGAATTCCTCTCTGTAGCCCTGGGATAGAATAAAACACTGCCTCTTGGAATGTGAGCCCCGCCAAGATGCCTACCTGGCACCACACCACTGCACCCCACACCTAGCCCACGTGTATCCCATGCAACATTCCCTCACACCCCCACGCTCATGCCCAAATGGCCACCCTCGGCCCATGTGGCATGCAGACCTGCTCACTTGTCTTTCGACCTACAACCTCACTGTATGTGCCCAGAACAAGGAGGCCCTGGTCCCCAGGAATGGCGAGGCACCACCTATGACGACGGAATGTGAGATGACTGAAAGCAAAAAAACATGCTTGAGACCAGCCTGGGCAGCATGGCGGAACCCCAGTTCTACAAAAAATTAGCCCAGTGTGGTGACACATGCCTGTGGTCCCAGCTACTCAGGAGGCTGAGGCAGGGGATCCCTCGAACCCGAGAGGCCGAGGCTGCAGTGAGCCAAGATCACGCTGCTACACTCCAGCCTGGGCGACAGAATGAGACTCTGTCTCAAAAAACAAACAGGCTGGGCATGGTGGCTCACACCTATAATCCCAGCACTTTGGGAGGCTGAGGCGGGTGGATCACGAGATCAGGAGTTCTAGACCAGCCTGGCCAATATGGTAAAACCCTGTCTCTACTAAAGATACAAAAAATTATCTGGGCATGGTGGTGCATGCCTGTAATCCCAGCTACTTGGGAGGCTGAGGCAGAAGAATCGCTTGAACCTGGGAGGCAGAAGTTGTGGTGAGCTGAGATTGCGCCACTGCACTCCAGCCTGGGCAACAAGAGCGAAACTCCATCTCAAACAAACAAAGAACAGGGTGCGATCACCAATGGAGTATAAATGGAAAGGAGATTGGATTGAGTCCCAGGACACACAGGTTTAGAGGCCTTGAGAGATGAGGGAAAAGCAGCCAAGGCGTTGGAGTAAGCGTGGTCAGGAGACAGGGCAAGACAACAGGAGAATGAGGCATTCTGGAAGGCACCTGGAACTGCTCTAACAAGGAGGCGGAGATCAGCTATGACAAATGCTGCGGATGTGTTCAGGGAAGATGAGTTAGAATTAACTTTGGGTGACCTTGGCAGGAGCAGTTACAGTGATGTAGTGAGGATGAAAACCTGATTTGAGTATGGATTCAAAAAATCAGGAGAGATTTGGCATATCCATACAACGGAAAACTACTAAGCAATAAAAATGAGTGAACAATGGATACAACATGGATAAATTTTGAAATAATTATGCTGAATGAAAGCCAAACACAAAAGAATATATACTGTATGATTCCATTTATATAAAATTCTAGAAAATGCAAATTAATGTATAGTGACAGAAAGCAGAGTCGTGGCATTGCCTGAGGCAATGAGGGCCATAAGGAAAGATTACAAGGAGGCAGAAGGAAACTTGGGGTGATGGACATATTTACTATCTTGATGGTGACGTTTCAGAGATGTGTACATATATCGAAATGCATCAGATTGTACATTTTCAAAAAAAAAAGAAACGCTGCCTGTTTAGTGTCTTCACAGACCTTTTCACATACCTCTCCTTGAAGTTGCATGTTTGTTTATAGAACTTTCCCCCACTAGACTGAATTTATTGCCAGTCAATGACTTACTTACCTTTGTAAATCTAGCACATAGCAAAGTGCCTAATGCTAACTGGGCACTGAATAAATGATGGTTGAGTAAAGCCTGAATGAATGAATGAGGGAAAGTGGTCTGATACAAATGATCTTTCAGTTCCCTTCCATCTATCCAGTTTATGATCATATACATTAAGTATTACTGTTATTCAAGCTCCATGCTACAAGGGGAAGAGGAGGAATGAGGTAAGCTAACCCTGCAGGGTGTTTTTCTCCTCTTTGGAGGTTACACACCATATAGCATCCCCCTCTTTTTTTTTTTAAGGAAGTGTGGTCACTGCACAGATATGCTAACTCTTCCATCCAAGTGGGTGAACCCTAGGTAGGCTGAGTTAAGAAACTTTGGAAAACTGGATAATGCATGATATATATGGAAGCAGCTGTTATCACTTAATATCACTCTAATATAAATGTGTGTGTATACACACACACACACACGCACGCACGCACATACATTTTTTTTCCTCTCAGAGAAAAACAGAAGGACACTGATTTATCCAAGGCACTGGTATATCACTGTTTTTTTTCTGACTATTTCTTCTACTCCATTAAGTAGAATATTTGAAGCCAGGACAGCACAAGATTAAGTTTACGTATTTGTTTGCTTATTTTAGATGCTGGCTATGGAAAAGGTTGTGACTGATGAAAATCTCTGGGCTCCCAGGGAAAATAAAACTGCATAGATTGAAAAAACAGCCAAACAGCCCGTAAACAAAGAAACCCTTCTGGGTTCAAATACAAAGATACTCTTATTCTTAGAGTGTTAACTCTTTCTTTTGCCCTTTTGGACAAGAAGATCAAGGTCAAGTGCAGTAAAGGTTTACTATTAAACTTAACATGCCTCTCCCCTGGGAGAAGTAGGTCCAGAGAAGGAGAATAATAAACACTGAGGGAAATTACACACCTGGGGTCAGCCTTGAGGCCCTCCTTGAAGTCCTTCAACCCCTTCTTCTCTTGTGGTTGCCCGACCATGAAAAAGGTATCCCTGATGGTAGGAAAATCTTCCAGAAGATCTCTCAGGCTATTGCAGTATGCCATAATCTGACCCCGAAGAGCACAGCGAGACATGCGGTGTTTAAACCTGAAAGTCAGGAGAAAGGATGTCCAGAAGCACAATCCAAGTTCTTCCACCTCTCACAGAAGTTCCACGATCTGCTTTCCTGGAGGACTTTCCAAAGAGACAGAGTACTTTTATCAAGAAAAAATTCCCATTTGGGTCAGGCGGCTATTGCCTGAAGGCAGAAGCATGAACCCCTTCATAGCGACCCCTATCCTACACTTCCAATGCCCCCATGCATGTCAGAGGGCAGTTTAACTTGGTTTTAGCCAATAAAACTGCTGTTTATTACATTCAGAGTCAGAGGAATCAGCATGTGTTATTCACATATACTATACTTACTTCTGACAGTATTCAACTATACTTTGACGTTTCCAGTTTCATCCTGTGATAAAGGAGAATGCTAGTTTTATTAGACAATTGGCTATTAGAACTCCCCAGCCTAGTGCATGTGTACAAACTTAAAGGAAACTTCAAGCAGGAAAAGGCCACACATCTGGGACATTCTTTCTAGGTCAAGCTTGTTAGGAAGCACTCCTCTGTGTCTCTCTCCCGCTCCTACCTGTCTTGCTGAGTATCCCAAGGCTGCAAGGCCCTGACCACACTTTACCTCACAACCATTTCTCAGGGTTGTGTTTGCAGAGAGCAGTCTTGAGTGATAAGGTAATGTCTCCCTCCAGGAAAGAGAGCAGGAGGTGGGTTCCCCAAGTTCAGTGCTTTTCAACTGTGACATAAGCCACTACCTGCACGTAGGCTTCTCCACAATGTCCCCGTGGGACTGGCATGAACATGAAGCTCATGTTGCCTACTCTGCTGTGAATAATACAATTATTTGTCTCTGACAAAGGAGTTTGTGTGCCTTCTGCCAGCATCCATCCAACAGTAACAGATTAACTTATTAGCTAGTAAGTAGCCCCCAGACCCTGACAAAATTAATATAGGTAATCATATTGTCTGAGCTCTTTCTGATCTGATGGGTATTGAATAACCCTGAAGGGCAGTTCATGAATGCTTTTTTCCACTTGGTCAATATTTTTTTGAGAATTGCTTATTAGAAGGGACCCTTTGCTTCTATTATTGCTGAGCAGTAATTGCTGGCCCTGTCATATCTCATCTGTAGAACTAGATCAGGTAAATTTAAGTCTTTCCTCTAAAGTCACAAATAGGGAACAAAGCCTAGAATTATGAATCTTGTCATTTTCCTCCTAAATAACTATGTATTAGCATAATGATTTTCTCATCAAAAAATTAATGAATAATGAAATGATACTGACAAAATTAAGGAATAATTATTACTGATTAAAGTTTTGAGTTTTAGTATTTTTCAATAGATTAGGCTAATATAAAAAACACAAACATAGTGGTAGTGTCTGAAAAACCAAGATAACCGCATGGTTATCAGGTGACCAGAGGGTAAGACCCATTGTTCACCTGTCTAATCCCCAAGCCCCTGTGGGTCACTCAAAAGTAGGTTAATGTTCCAGTGCAGGTGCTGAAAAGAGTTCATTTAGAAAGTGACAAAACAGACTGCGGCCTTGGGAAAATGCATACATTTTTAAAACACGACTGCAACCCACTGGAACGGACTCCCTTTTACTTCTTATTGAACTCCCCTTTTCACTTCTTTACCATGTATTTTCAGTGGTCCTAACCAAATAGGTTGAAAGCATCAGATCAACAGATTCCAAGTGAAGACTTTCCATTTGCTCAAATACAAAAGAGGACCAGAGCTTTGGGCAGCATTTCTCACTGCACACTCACAGCGCTCTTCATTCTGTCAGCCGTGGTTTGTTTCCTCAGGAGGAAGGCGTTCAGCATCATGTCTCTCAGCCCCACCTTTTCCAGTTGAATAGACTCAAAGGCCTCTGGAGCCCTGACAAGTGAACAGAGACATGGGAGCCCAACGCAGGAGGTATGCAGATGGGGAACAAGAAGACAATGTGTATACTGGGCATTGCAGCAGGAGGGCAGGTGGCTGGGTCTCCATGGTTCTTGCCTGCTTCAGGTGTTTCTGATTATTCACCAGGGATGTGGATGTGTTACCATCCACATCTTCAGGCTCAGGGACCCCACGTGCCTGAAGCATTTTGCATCAGCAGCCGTTCTCAGTCCTAAGCCCAGTGTTTGTACTACCCATCGCCCTTTGCATTCTCCTAGCCTTAACTGTAGGGATACTTGAAGTGTCCTCCCAAGGGTCCTCTTGACTAGACATATTGGTCTTAAGTCTTCCATCCACACATTGGAAATGTGGACTGAACATACTTGATCTCTGGCCATGTGTCAGACTAACAGCATCTTGAGTAATAGAATTGCTTTGCCCGTTACTATTTTTTATTCGAAATTTTCCAGAATTCAGTTAGAGTGTCATTGGTAGGCCCTGATAAAATACTCAGACAAATCATACTACAGAGTATGATTTACAGAGTATTCATACAAAGTATCATACAGACTATTACAAAGTAATTCATACTACAGAGTATGAATATCTCTCTTTCTCTGTCATGGTGAAAAGATATCCAGACAGAATAGGGCATCTCTAATTTAAGACATGTCTCTGGAGAGGTCATGCCTCTCTGACAATAATTCACCATCCTGTTATTCTAAGCAATGTTAAAACCTTTGTTAGAACAGTGAGGACAGGCTGGGCACGGTGGCTCATGCCTGTAATCCCAGCCCTTCAGGAGGCTGAAGCAGGTAGATTACTTGAGGTCAGGAATTCAAGACCAGCCTGGCCAACATGGTGAAACCCCATCTGTACAGAAAACACAAAAATTAGCCAGGTGTGATGGTGCATGTCTGTAGTCCCAGCCACTCAGGAGGCTGAGGCAGGAGAATTGTTTGAACCCAGGAAGCAGAGGACGCAGTGCACTGAGATCAGGCCACTGCATTCCAGCCTTCCAGTCTGGGTGACAGAGTGAGACTCCATCTTAAAAAAGAATAATGAGGACAGTTCTGTGCTTCTCAATTCAAGATAGATATGGAGAATTTGGAGAGGCCTTCCTTGTGATCTGCACTTTTTGGAGTCTGAAAAATATACAGAGAGAGAAGAAGGGAAGGAAGGGAAGTGAAAGAGAGGAGGAGAAAGAAGAGAGAAGGGGTTAAAATTAGGACTGTTCACTGTCCTTTATTGACTGGAGTAGATTGGAAGGAGTCGAGCCCTCTCAGTATTCATACAAGGTCTTTATATAAGATGCTAGTCACTCTGAGACTTTAGGCTCCTTTGGTTCCCCAATACTATTTGTTAATTGACTTAAAAGAGGACGCTTTTGTTATTCCAAGAAGAATCCATTCTTCCATCTTACCAGGTACAGTACCTTTTGGCAGCCTGAAACCTTTCTGGAGAATGAGTAAGGGTATCTGGGACTTTTGGAATTGGGGCTATCACTGAGCTGTCTACACCATTCACAATTCTGGAATGTCTTCTTCTGGTTGGGCCCATTCCACCATGATTTCTCAGATCTGAACGTACTTCTTAAAATATTTTAAACCAAAATAAATTAAATTTGTTGGGCATATAAGTCCTGAAGTACTGCTGTAAAATAATCTCACAGCCACAACTGATCACCAGCACATGTAAAGGCCTGGGTACATGGGACAGGGGAGTGGAAAGAAGAGGAGAGGAGGGGAGGAGAGGGAAAGGTGGGGGGAGGAAAAGGGGGAGGGAGGAAGAGAGATATCACTATGCACAATTAAGAGGTGAGGCACCAAGTGTGACTATTTTCAGAAGAGAGTGTAGTTGTCTGAAGTGCTCTGAGAAAAAAAATCTCCCTTCTACAAAGTGGCTAGATGGTGTGCTCTGATAGAGTGGTCTCTCAAGGAATACCACTAATAGATTTCATGACTACAAGATCTGGAAAGTTCCCACAGGGCACCTAGGCAGATGGAGGTGGGCTGTATATGCTGCCATGCACGACATAATGACAAAGATGGGAGGGAGGAGGGGGAGGGAGAAAAAGAGGAGAAAGAGGGATGGTGAGGGAGAGGGGAAGGAAGAATGGGGAAATAAAAGGGAAACTCGTGTCTTCCAATACTCCAGTGCCACTGGCTATGGAGCTGCAGGGCCTGTTGGATGGAACTTGTTTATATTTTTCTAAACAACTAACTAAAAGAAAAAAGTTAAAGCTTTGAAGGAAAGATCATTCTTCAATTAAAGACACAAGGAGTTACCCATAGCAGAATTACCACAGGAGACATAAGGAGACTGAGGCAAAAAGAAAAAGACCCCAGGTAAAAAAATCTAGTTTTCAACCATATTTTTTTCTGAAGACCCTTGAGGTATCCCAGTCTCCTGGAAATAGGAGCATCCGCTAGTTCAGGGGACTGGGGAGGTCTTACAAGGTTGTGAGTGAGGTGAGAGGGAAGAAAGCCCACGCTCTGCAATCAGATCCTGGTGCTGACGCTGAGCTGCTGATCTTGCCTCTTTTCCTTAACTTCTCAGAACTGTTTCCTTACCCAGAAAAAGAAGGTCATGCCCCCCACTGCACGGGGCTGTGAGAGGACTCTATGAGTCCACCTATTTCTATCACCTAGCTTCCTGCCTGCCTGGGCCACAGAAACTGTTGAATGAAATCGTTAACTCCCTGACCCCCACCCGCACTCTTCATTCCAAAATGCCCAGTATTCACACTTGTCTCTATCCCCAGTTGCTTCCTCTTGTCCAAACCCCTTCCTACAAATGTGTTCACATCTTCTTTTATTCTTTAATATTCCTACTCCTTCAAGTTTCCTCCTCAATTCTTAAAGAGTTACTATGGCCTGAATGTTTGTGTCCCTCCAAAACTACTATGTTGAAATTCTAATCCCATAATGATAGTATTTGGAGACAGGGCCTTTGGGAAGTAATAAGGTCTAAGTGAAATCATAAGGGCAGGGCCTTAGTCTGACATGGTGCTGTGCTTATAAAAGAGGAAGAGACACCGGGGCTCTCTCTCACTTGCTTCCCACCCATCTGTCCTTTAATGCGAGCACCCAGTGTAAGGCAGCCATCCACAAGCCAGAAGGAGAGCCCTCACCAGAAA